GTGATCCCGGTGCACAGAACTCCGGTGCATGGAGCCTCGGTGATCCCCGTGCACGGAGCCCCGGTGTACAGAGTCCCGGTGATCCCAGTGCATGGAGCCTGGGTGCTCCTGGTGCACAGAGCCCCGGTGATCCCGGTGCACGGAGCCTGGGTGCATGGAGCCCCGGTGCACAGAGTCCTGGTGATCTTGATGCACGGAGCCCCGGTGATCCCGGTGCATGGAGCCCGGGTGATCCCGGTGCGCGGAGCCCCGGTGATCCCGGTGCACGGGGCCCCAGTGATCCCGGTGCACGGGGCCCCAGTGATCCCGGTGCACAGAACTCCGGTGCATGGAGCCTCGGTTATCCCCGTGCATGGAGCCCCGGTGTACAGAGTCCCGGTGATCCCAGTGCATGGAGCCTGGGTGCTCCTGGTGCACAGAGCCCCGGCGATCCCGGTGCACGGAGCCTGGGTGATCCCGGTGCACAGAACTCCGGTGCATGGAGCCTCGGTGATCCCCGTGCACGGAGCCCCGGTGATCCCAGTGCACGGAGCCTTGGTGCCTGGTGCTCCTGCTGCACAGAGCCCCCGGTACATGGACTCTCGGTGCTCCCGGTGCATGGCGCCCCGGTGCTTGGCGCTCCCGGTGCACGGAGCCCCAGTGCTCCCGGTGCATAGAGGCCCCGCTGCACGGTGCTGGCAGTGCATGGCATTTTGGGACTCTGGTGTCCTGGTGCCTGGAACCTCAGTGCAGCAGGTGCTCAGTGCCCCGGTGCAGGATGCCCTCGGTGCAGGGAGCCCTCGTTGCATGGAGCCTGGGTGCTCGGTGCCCACAGTGCACGGAGCCTCGGTGCTATGAGTGCTCAGTGGCCCCAGTGCGTGGTGCCCCTGGTGCAGAGCGCTGCTGCACGGTGCCCCTCCTGCATGGATCCTCGGTACTCCGAGTGCTCCACGCTCCCGGTGCACGGAGTTCAATATCCACAGTGCCTTGGTACCCTGTGTGCAGGGAGCCTGGGTGCCCTGGTGCACTGTGCCTTGGTTCCCTCATACTCGGTGCCCTGGGACCCTGAGCGCACAGAGCCCAGTTACCCCCTGCGCACGGAGCCCAGGTACCACCGGTGCACGGCCCCTGGGTATTTGGGTACCTCTGTGCGCAAAGTCCTGATCCCGCTGGTCCACAGAGCATCCTGGTGCGCTGTGCCCCGGTACCTGGGAGCGCAGTGCCCTGGTCCTGTAGCTCCCTGCAGAGCTACAGGCCTGGCCCCATCCAGCTCAGCAAGGTCCCCCCATGCTCTGGGAGATGCTTAAGTCTCCGTCACCCGGAGCTCCTCCTCGCACAGCCGCTCGTGAGGGCTCCTGCTCCGCTCTTGCCTCGCCAGCCCTGGGTTGCGCTTTGGGTCGTTAGAGCTGCTGTCTCAGATTAGACTCCTCAGGGATGATAACGGCAGCCCAAGCAAGCGGCTGGGCCCAGCCCAGCGCTCGGGGCAGGTCCCCAGCGAGGAGGTCAGGGCGCTCGCACGGCTCTTAGGGCCCATCTCCCTAGTGCAAGTAGCAGTTTGCTAGCTGGGGTCCGGGGACGCGGCGCCGGGTGACGAGCGGCCCCTCTTGCACCAGCAGCTGTGACGTGGACGTGCTCCAAACGCACCCGGGTGCCTCCTGAGCCCTCCACGGGTATCCAGCCGCTTTGCTGCGCTCCCTCCCTTCTCCATGTGGAGCGGGCCGGGGGGTCTCCTTGGCCAGGCGCCTGCAGGATGGGTGGATGGATGGATGGATAGATGTCCCAAGGTGCATCCTTGAAGATGTCGGTGCAAGGGGCGCTCTTGGAAAGCTCGTGTAGGAGGCGGCCCGCGTGGCCGGCGTTCGCAGCAGCACGGACACAGATTTTCCCTGAATTCAGATTATCTCTTCGGCACTGGAAAATCCTCCCGAGCAGCTGCTGCGAGAAATGGGCTGCACATCAGGCACGCAGCCTCCCCGGCCAGGGCTCCACAGCAGCCTCGCTGCCTCCGAGCGGCCACGGAGGTTCCTCCTTTGCAGCTCCACCGGCCAGGACATGCCCAAGAGCCCTGGAATAACCTTGCCCTCAGTAACCCTCCGCTTCACAGGCTACAAATTGCACCTCCGGGGCCTGGTTTCTACCTTCCCAAGCAAATGAGTTTTCCTGCAACCGCTCAAACAAGAGCGCTGGCTCCTGCCGCGCTTTCCATCCGCAGCGAACTTTCCTAGGAGCGATTTCCAGCGGCGCTGCCAAATCGCGCTCGTCGCGGAACAAGCGCCGGAGGTGCCTCGAGATCCGGGCATGAGCGATGCTGTGTGTTAACCTGGCAGCGCGGCCCGGGTGGGCGTACGAGCCGCGCGGCCAGCTCCGATCTAACGTGGCAATGAGGAGCTGAGCGTGGAAGTTTCTGTTCCGCTAAGGGCCTGAAAACCTCCATGTCAAGTGGAACAAAATGCCCCCATTTCAACATCACCCACGAGGGGAAAGCAGAACCAGCCTGTGCTCCCCGCCCTGCTCGCAGCCTTAGATACGCTCCTTAAACCCATTTAATAAAAACAAGTTTGCAATATCTTATTTCGACAGCATAAGAATGCAGCTCCGGGGCCAGCAAGCTGGGCTTGCGACTGATGTTTCAGTCCCAAATAACAAATTATTTGGGACCTCTGTCCCCTTGGAGAATGGCAAGGGGCTCATGCAGCAGGGCCTGAGTGGACCCAAACCGCTGCCCTGCTCCGGCCGCGGGTTTGGGCCGCATCCAGGACTAAGGGATTTGGGACCCAGCGGCTCCTGGGCCCTTTCCCTGCAGCAGCGCCTGCCGGGTGAGACGCAATTCCCACTTTTTTCCATCTCTTTTGGCTGGTGACCTATCTCTATTTAGGGTTCTTTATGTGCACGTGCATATTTCGAAGTAGGCTTTGAGCAACTTTGAATCAACTATGGAAGAGGATATAAAGAAAACTAGCAAATACTGTCTTTTCCTAAAGTAACCATTTCTGCCTCTTCAAATAAAGACCCTGACATGAGATTTCGCTTCTTGCCTTGTAACTGTTGGGAAAAGTGCACTGCTTAATGCAGGAGGCAGCTCTGTATCACTTGCTGAGACCATACAGAAAACTCACATCAAATATACTCAGAAATGAAAAGCAGAAGTAGGTTTCCAACTGTTGTAACTTTTAAAAGAGATAGAGAACAAGCCTCCTTGCTGCAGAACAGCTATTTGGATTTGCTTAGAATGAGAGCAGATGTGCAAGGGGCAGTACAGATCCCTGGGGCCCAGAACAACGGCAAGATCCCCAGGGAGAGGTTTTGCTCCCAGCCCTGCCAGGGAGGCTGCTTGCAATTTTACCGAGCACAACTCGCTTCCAAACACGGCCTTTTCTCCCCAAATCCCCCATTTAAGCAATATCTTACCTTCCAAATTACTCCCTTCGGGCGCTGTGAGCGTTTAGCAGCGCGAGCGGGAAGACGTTGTCCTCCGTGGAAGTAGCAGCATTCCCAAACTTCCCTTCGTCTCGGCCGCCTGGCCTTGGGCGAGACCGCGAGGATTTTGGAAGCCGTCCACGCCGGCCGGGAATGCCGCGGTGCGGCGGGGAGCGGGAATGGCCAGCGCCGAGCAGCTTCCCGCAGCCGGGAATGCTCCCGGGTCCACCAGCCTCCTCCTCGGCAGCGTTAGCTCCAGTAGCATTTTATTAGCAGGTAACGTGGCATCACCCGCTCGCATTCGCCTCAGCTCCTTCCCATTTTCACTTTTAATATTGTATCCCATGGCTCGCACTTAAAAGGCAGCGGCGCGTTATCTGCCGCCGCCGCGCGCGGGGCATTAACCTTCCTCTAAGTGCTTGGAATTGATCTCCTGCTCTCCAACTCCAGTGTTCGCATCCCCAAATTGTTGATCCGCGGAGACTAATTTGCCACCGAAATAATCCATTTGTTGCCGCGGGTTTTTAGAGGGAGGCTCCGTTTTCGCAGCCCGGAGGACTTCGCCACGATTATTAGCGACATCAATTTCAGCGGCTTCCCGGCACGGAGCGCCCAATGATTACACGGCTCCGGGGCAGAGCGGGGACTCGAGAGGCTAATGGGAAATTAGAGGCAAGCGGGAAATTCCTTGGACCCTTAGCCTGGAAGATATTAAGCTTTGAGCCTTTAGGAGGCATATTTAAATACAAAGAAGGGACGTCACGCAGTTAGCGCCGTCGCTGCAGACATCGGCTCCGCTCTGGCTCTCGCATCCTGCACGTCCACGTTAAAATCTAATTCATGGAAAACAAAATAAGCTGTTTTAAAGCCAAGCCAGTCCCGGGATCTGGAAGGCATCACTGCAAGACTATCCTCAAACTAGGCGTGATTCAGGTGTGCGCAAACAGATCACGTACTGCATGCTGGAAAAATTACTTTATTTTTGTGCATTAGTCCCTCATCCCACAACTTCAAAATCTGTACATCTTTGGAAAAGGCACTGATTTAAAATGTGTTAATTAACTCTGAAAATTTAATTAAAATTCTTCTTAGCTAGCCAGCTCTATTAATTAAAGCAGTAGCTTCCTCATACTAAACCTCAGTCTTTTATACCAGATGAGCAGGAAGCAGGTAAGTAAACACCAACTGATTTCGCTCAGGGGCCCCTTTTAAGAGCTGCACGTGAAGTTTAAGCCCAACATCTGTGCTTCGAGAAACTACTTTTTGGAAACAAAATGAGGCCTTTGCGGGTTTGGTACCCAAACGCTGAGCGCACAGAGAGTGCAGGTCTGGTCCAAGGAGCAGGGAAAGGCAGGATCTCCAAATGCATCAGCTGTGGAAGGGAAAGGAAGGGCCCGGCACGCCAGGAAGAGGGACACGGGACATGCAGGACGCAGCTTTCAGGGAGTTGCAAGGACAGACTCCCTCATCTGGTGGTATCTTTATCTGCTACTGGGTCTGAGCACCTCTAGGTGACTGAAGCAGTGGGGCAAGAGACCAGAAAATGAAAAATTAGAGGGTATTTTTCCAATTTCCGGCACCACTCATCACTGCTGGAAATCTTCCGCCATCCTTCTCATATACTCGTTCAAGATTAGGCTGATCTGAATCTCTTGAGCTACACACACTGTGCCAGGATAAGGAGAAATGTCCTGGATGACCTGGAAATGCCTCAAGAGAGCAGAGGAACAAGAGGGGACACCCCAAGGCAGCTAAGAGCTGCCAGGACAATGAACAAGTCCCGTTTGCAGATGAGCCCAGGATCCATCCCGAGCCCGGGATGGATCTGCTGGATGCTGCTGCCCTTGGCTGTGATTCCTGACGGGTGGCACAGTAAGAGCCAACGCCAGAGCTGTACTTACTACAGCCTGACGGGATTATCCGGGTGCACGCTAGGAATTACCGCGGCGAGGGCTGCAGGTAGCGAGCAGCGCGACGGGAGCATCTGGGTGTAAAGGGAGGGATGAACAGAACCCCTCGCAGCAGCTGCCTCGGAAGCGGAGCTTTCCAGCCATCTGGAGTCCCACGCTCGGCTTGGGAAGGGAGCCCTGCGGTTTTCTGGCATGGAAGAGGGCACGGGCACTGCTGGCAGCAGCGCAGGGGTGGACACGCAGCTGGCAGTGCCCACACAGCCTGACCAGGCTTTGAGCTATGCCCCGGGGGCCCTGCACTAACTGCATTAGGTTCTGCGCAAGAAACGGTAATTAGCAGCGGGAACGGGCATGAAAAACACGCAGAAGGGGGTGAAAGGAGCGAAGGAAAGGATCAAGTGCGCGAAGGATCTGCATTTACGAGGAGGTATGTTTAGAGAAGCGCTGCGCCCGGCTGCAAAGTTTGCACAAGGAGAATTCCTGCGAGAGCGCGCTGGAAACAGGGTCAAGAGGCAACGTCTGATGTAAACGGGCATTTCTGAGCCTCCGCTTGGCCGGGCCCCCATCACGAGGCTTGGAACGTGACTTCCACCATATTTGGGCCCAGATTTCCAGGAATGCAGAAAAAACCTTTAAATGAGCAACTGCCCCCCGGCTTCCCGAGAACATCCCACATACCAGCAGCGAGGCAGCACTTACACAGACACCGTTCCTTGTAACACACCTAGCGAATGCCTGCGGCTGTTCTCCTCCCTCGAGCCCATCCTTCATTTGGGAATTCCAGAGGCAGCGCTTGTTTGCCCTCTGCCACGCACAGGGGCCATCCGGCTATGCCCAGTGCTCACAAATTTAGGAAGAAAATGATTTTAAAAAAGCAAGCTGGTGCCCAAAGGTCTCGCAGTGGAAAGCAAATGTTAAAACAACAAGTTGCATGCAAAGAAAACACGGCCGGTTTGGGCAGAGCTCGGGCTCCCTGAATCTCCCTGGCCGTCAGCGCGGGCAGTGGAAGGAGTGATGATTCCAGAGGGCAGGATGGGTGGAAGGAGCGGGAGGAAAGGTGCACACACAGCATTTCTGAGGTAATGGCACACTTGGGGTTGTCTACGGAGCCTTTCCAGTCGAAATCGTCTTCACTGAACATTTACCATTTACGGCAACGGCTAAAACAGAGGAGGACAAGCTAAAACCCTGAGCACTACCAATATAAACACTGGTCCTTTTGGAAGAGCAAGTGATGATATCATGCATCCCACCCTTCCTGTGTAAACAGGAGTGCCAACATGAGAAAACATGCATTGTAAACCATATATCCGGCTGGTTGTGGCTTTTTTGAGCAGCTCTTGAGATCAGTGAGGCCAGATGCATTTCTTGGGTTCAGACTCGGGCGGTTTCAGGCACTTTCCTAGCTTCTCACAGCCAGGGGGAGACCAATTCTGTTCAAAACAAGCAAGAGAGAGTCAGAAAAATGAAGCAGAGCATTCACACGACATACCTGCTAAGCCCTGCACCCGAACCGCCCCGCTCTGATTCTCACAACGAGGCTCTTAACGTCCTGTTTGAAAAATGAAACTGCTTGCAGCTCTTCCCAACTCCAAATGCTATCCCGAAGGCTTCAGGAAAGACTATGGATCCTTCTGCCAGAGCGGATTCTGTCTTCTCCCGGGATAGGGGCTGTGTCCGCTGGGTCTGGGCTGCCCTTCCTCCCTCCCATCCATGAAGTTTTGGTGAAACCTCCCTGTTCGCTGGGATCCAGAGGGCAGTTGTAATTCTCAGCACGTTCACTCTCTAGCCCTCCCTGTCTCCACGTCTACCCATCTACTGCAGATTCGTGCTGTCACCTATTAAAGGTCAATTCAGCTCTGACCTACTGCCTTTTATTTCATTTTTTCCCCCCTCTTCTTGACATTTGCATTTGCCTGGCATTGAGCTCCTTTGGGGCAGAAAGGCTGAGCCCTAACTGGAATGCCGCAGCGGGTCTATATTCCATAGAGCTGACAACAGATGGCAGTGGCACTCCAGCTATCTCCGCAGGCAAGGGAGAAGGCAGAGGGGGACTTTGGCAGAGGGCACCTCGCTGCACGAAGGGCTTCAGATGATGTAGAAACAATTAACGCTGTTTTCTAAATCTGTTGCTCATTTTCAAAACGCACAACCAGTGCTGGATGTTTCATATGCTTGACCATTCTGCAGAGGCAACAGAGATCCAAAGAAACAAAGAAAACGTTCATTCTTTTGCAAAAAAACTAGATGGTATCTGCTTCAGCCTCCCGGGGCGAGGCGGCTTTCCTGGCTATGAGCTCTAAGCTCTGAGCTCGCTGTGCACAGCAGGTCAAACACACGCAGGCCAGCGCCGCTCCACCGCACGGGACAACTTCTCCTCTGCTTCCACAAGAGGAAAATGCAGCAAAACGGGCTGCTCCGTAGGGGCTTCATCTACGTGGCTGGTAGGACACTCCTCAGATGTGCCAGCAAACGCATCCCCTGCTCAGAGGGCTGCAAGTTGCTGCTCTTCCATCACTCCCCAAACGGCAGTGGCAGCTACAAAATGATGCATCTGCTTTGCTCGCGGATAAGCGAGGACGATTCTTCACTTCTCTTCCCAAAAGAATATTAAACATCCGGATCAAATAAATGGGCAAGAGAATTTAGAAAACTGTTGAGTGTAGTATTGCCAAGTGACGTTTATCCCTCAACATTCTCCAAAGAGATTTAGGGCACAAGCAACCCCAACAATACTAACACCCAGGCAAGACTGGGTTATCCTAGTGTCCGGTTTCAAACGACATACAATAATTTGCTGCCTCTGTTGCATTTAGTTTTGTGTATAATTAGCCAGTTAGAAGTTCACTTGGAGTATAAAATCCATAATGTAAAAAAGCTTTCTTCTGGGACTCGAACACCTCTCCAGGGACACGAATCCTACCCAGCCGACTGGAAAGAGCTTTCTGTTTCTGAATTACCTGGTGAGACCCGGTCCAAGCACAGTCATTCGCTGCCTCTGATTATAGATTAGCAAACACGGTTGAACTTGGCCAAGCGCAGGACATGACCATAGGCAGAGCCCAGAGAGTGGTGTGAGAAAAGCCAGAACTTCCTAATTGAGATAAGCAGCAGGACATCCTCAGGGAAACATCTGCCTCTCGCCCAAAGAGCGGGCTATGAAGCATGAGACCTCTAGGCTTCATCCAATACACAACCTTAAGACACAGGGTGCTGGAGAACACGGAGAGCAGATGCTTTCACAGCACCTAAACGCACTGCACCAGGGGAGCTGCAAGTAACAGGACACGGCTACGCCTTAGGAACCAATTTTGGAGCTAGCAGCAGGAGACAAGAAATGTCTTTGCAGGCTCTGGCAGCAACCAGGCGCTGGGGAGAGAGTCTGAACCCATAAGGTCCCAAAGGAGCACAGAACGGAGTTTCTTAAGGGAAAAGTTGAATAATGTAGGAAAACAACATAGAAACAATGGCCCTTCAAATCTTTTTCCTACTTAACATCCAAAAATAAAAAAAGATGTGACAAAGCTAAGAAAGGTCTTTGCCTCCTCAGTGAGGAGAAGCTATTCCACATTTTGCACTTCCCTGCCTGGCTGGAAATAGATCCTAAGCAGCAGGTATTTGCCTTCTGCTTCAGAAGAGTATTTCAGCCTCAGAAAGATTTGGCTGTTGTTATTTTGTGCCAGCCTTTACAGGCACATGCCTTTAGATTCCAGATGTCTAGAAACAGAAGCTCTTGTCATCTAGCATCTTACCCCCTCAAACCATGCTGTTTCTTCCCCAGGTTCTATACAAACCCAGGACTGTTTCAGAGGAAAGCCACACTAAAAAACAATGCAGAACTGGAAACATGTATGGCTTGATTCAAGTCATAACAATTTTGGAAAAGACAGGCTTGGGTGGATTTGGGGAGACCAAGTGTAGGACCAAGGATATTCACACACATCACTGAAAAGACAAGAGCCACTGTCCCAATCCCACCACTCAAAACGCAGGAGGCTTTTTGAGATTTGCAGAGGAGGATTAGAAAGGAGGAGAAGGACCTAGAGCCGTAGATAGCGCTGTATCTCCAAGGAAGGAAGTCGCAGGGTTTATCGCAGTGTGTCTGTAGACTTCCCAGACCTCATTCGACTCACTTTGTACTAGCCCTCCTGTGCTACTGCATTCCACAGATAACAAACGCTGGCTCTCCAGTGCAGCAGCCAGATAGCCCTTCAAAAGGGCTATCATGCATTTCTTCTCCAGCTCCTTCCAACATTAGGTGAGATTCTTAAGCTTTTGCAAAATACATTTTAAGCCAAGGGTTCTCATATTTATTTATGTTTTAACTCCTTACCATGACGGCCTTGTCGCATACGTTAAGCTGGGGCTGTCCTGGCACCATGGTCGCTTTGTGCTGCTGGACAACGTTAGATATTCGCTCCATAGCTCCTTGATACTCAGCGCTGGCAAAGCTAGAACGTGAAAAAAAATGCAGAGTTACTATAGGGACCCCCAGAATATATCTGGCTTGAGACACTGCATGGCTGAGCTATTTCAGAGGGCTTTTCCCAGGAAATAGCAAAGAAGTGTCTGTAAACATGCGGGCATCGCTGGGTGCCCACTGGATCCTATGGGATGAGAGCAGCTGGGCTGGCTGCTCTGCTCGGGGGGCAGCCACCCTGCACCCCCAGCAGACCCCCTCCGTGGGGCTTCAGCTTCCAAAGCTGCTTGTCCCGCTGGTCCCAAATGCCTCCCCTTCCCCGTTGCCTTGTGGTGCTTCCCGAGGAGGATCTAAATGTACCGGGATCCAAACGTTCTGGGCTCGTCCTGGAGTTCGGCTGTGCTTTAAAGGACCGTTTAGGAGGCTTCCTAGAATGCAGGACAAACACCTTGCCACAGGCATTAAGCAAATAAACAAGCTCGCCGAGATCCTCCCAACGTGCCACAGGAGAGGTCAGCGAGCTCCCTTGGCTTCCAGCCTTTCAGCAACGCGCGCATCATGCAGAGGCATTTATTGCAGGGAAAGGAAGGTAATGACAATACTTGTTTTTTTTTTTTCCAAGAGTTCTCTCCAGCTCAGGGTTCCAAATCATCTTATTTACAAGCGTTGGCTAATAAAGCTTCACCATCACCAAGATGAACTAATATTATGCAAACAGGAAGAAAAAGAATAGAAAGGACTTGTCCAAGACAAGAATACCTCCTCCATTTCGCAACCTCACCCCATGGTTCTGCCCCATTTACATTCTTCCATTAGAGCTTTATTGTTCCAAGCTGGGACCCATCTGTCATGCTCCAGCCCGCATACAAAGTTTGCTAAATAACCAGATTTTAATCCAAAGTATTACTCCAGTAGGTACTTGTTTAAGTGGTTCATGGTGTACTTCACTAATACTTCAAGTATTTCGAAAAGGGAGGCTTATTACTCAATGATCTCATTTTGTTCATCACATCAAGAGTCACTTAAAAACAAGAGAGCGGCAAATTGCTTCTGAAGATAAAAGAGAATCAATGCAGCTTGGTGCTGACCTCAGGCTCCCTTTGCTTACAGTCCAAGCTGGCCACCAGCCCCACACTCCGGCTAATTTCCTTCTTTGAAAAACAATCACATTTTGAAGCCCAGTAACATGCCAACAGTTTCCAGTAAACCCTATAAATATCACATCTCGGCATCCATCCAGAGAGAAGCTAATTGTGGGGATGGGCCTGAGCTCTGCTGATAGAGGACCGGATGGGAATCTGGAGTGACGAGCTCCGGCAACCCGACGTGCTGCGCTCACACGCAGCGAGCTGCAGCCCGGAGCAGAGCCCATCACCAGGGCTGGGTGATCTGTGCAGCTCATCCCGAAGGATCCTGCTTGTGCTGCCCCCAAATCCGCACCTCTCCCGACGCCTCGCAGCTGGGAAGCGCATGCGCCTGCCTCCTTCCAAGGGCCGGGCTGGAAACGCAGGGACAGGCAGAGGTTTGCAAGCTGCCAGGGATCGTGGATGACTCAGAGCCTTGATGAGGACACGGAGGGCAGCGAGCCCTTGGCTCGGGAGTTTGGGCAGCACACTGGCATAACGGCCTTTCAATTCAGCACAATTTTATCTGGAAGCCCTCTGGCCACATTGCAAACACCCAGGCTGCCAGCACAGCAGCACGCTTAAAAAAAAATGGGAGCGTAGCTAAAAACACGGCAGGGGTGCAGAGGTGTAGGCACTGCATTGGGCAGCGGGGCCAGGTTCTCCTCCACTGAGACCAGATCAAATGGAGGAGTCAAAACAAGAACATCTTAAAGCCCGGGAGCGTAGCTAAAAACACGGGAGAGAAGCAGAGGTGTCGGCACCGCATCGGGGCTGGGCTCCCCTCTGCTGATACCAGATCAAACGGGGGAGTCAAAACAAGAACATCTTAAAGCCCAGACACCCCAGCAATGCAAACCGAGATAAAATGCAGTTTACTGGAACATATATTGCCACGTTGTGGATTTCTAAGGTACCTATTGTTCTGGGATTTGAAAGCTCCTTCCAAACTAATCACACTTTATTAAGGCCCTCCTATTAAGGATTAATATGAATTAATACATATTTTAACCAATTGTTAGACTCCAACAGATTTTACTTATCTAATCATTTAATACCTTCTGCTGCTGCTGCTTTTGTAACCATCTAATGTGTTTATTTCTGTCACCTACTTGTACCATCTCTGCAGCATTTAAGAACTTCTTTTGGACTCATAAGATAAAATGTTGCCACAAACTAATTAAGCTCCACAGCATCTTTGCAAATATTTAAGTGCTTAAGAGAGAGCCCAATTTCATCCACCGAAATGGCTCCTCGTACACAGGCTTCCAAATTAGCTATCTGGACAGACCAGTGGAAAACACAGCTGTGGTCTGGATGAAAGATAAACAATACGTTGTCATGACTGCTGCTTTTTGCTCCAAATATGCCAGTCCTCTTGCAGTGAAAAAAAAAAAAACCCTTTTGGCTCTCATCTTAACTACTGCACTTATCCACAGCATCATTGCTCATTAGCAACCCAAGGCACATGACTGCTGCTGTAAAACCAAGCAGGCTGGAGTCATTTCAGTCATCGTTGTACTTTGCTTCTCCCATTTGGGTACTCCCTGCATCTCCAGCTAGCTCAGCAGCAACAGGAAATCTTGGCCTAACCTCAGGTCCTGGTGGTTTGAAGTGCTCTCCCCTGCAGCTCCTACGCTCTTAGATTAGTCCAGCATTTAGCATAGGCTGAATGACTTCCCCAAAGCGTGATAGAAACAGCTTGGCACATATAAAAGACTCGCACTTCTCGCCTAAGTACAAAGCTGGCTAAAGCTAAAGAGCATATATAGATTATGCTCCAAGTCATACAGCTAACCTATAAACCTTGTCTCAGTAGGGCTTAACATGCTCTTAAGCAGGCTAAACCTGTTGACACTAGCTTAAAAAATATCCGATTGCAGCTGTCTTCCTCATGTTTAAGTACATGGCAATGGTGGGACCCCGAATGCTGCAAGGAATCGCTCAACACCGTCGCCATCACAGACTGTCTTCAAAAGCCTCAATTAAACATACAAATTATCTCCCTCATCTAGATGGAGAGCAACCTCCCTGCATAGGAGGGGACTGCAACGTCTGCAGGCGGCACAACATGCGCCAAGACCCGACATCCCTGCAGGGTTTTGTAAATGTAATATTTACTGACTGTAGAGACCAGGTTAAAACTGCCTCCAGCCTTAGCGTTGAGACAAAATCTGCAACACAAGAGTGCCTTTAATCTGTATGTAAGATGAGGATAATTACTTCACAGCAAACAGTCTGTGTTGTTAATGGGTCTGGGAACCACTCTTATTTTAAAAAGGAATCCCATCATTTTCTTGAGTGGGAATGCCTGATTTGGGCTGCAACAGCAGAATCTGCTATAGTCTCTATTACCAAAAAAAAAAAAAAAAAAAAAGGAAGAAAAAGGATAATATTATCTATACAGGTGTTTAGGCATCATTGTGTGAATGAAGATCCAGGCTCGGTGCCTCCAGGGCACGCTGTATTTCGTATTCCAGTTCAGCAGTCCTGCCGAAGCGGAGCTGGGAATAGCACGGCAAGAAGGAGCGCGCGGGAGCAAGGGTGAGCAGGTGGTGTTGTGAGGAGCTTGCTAAAAGGGATCCCCCAGTGTACAGGAAATTATTCCGTGCTCAGACTGAACGAGCGGAGTGGACAAAGTCCAGGGTCATTACACTAATTGACACTTTACCTCCGGGAAGTCCCCGGAGAGCCAATCAGGGCTGGATTGCGAGCGCCAGGTCCCAGGCACAGGTGTGGCCTGTGCTTAGTTCATTTAGCGTAATTGTGCCTTGGCAATCTGTTCTCATCTCCTCCCTCTCCAAAGAGCTCCCAGTGTAACCTGCTCTGCTATTAACCCCACCGTGCCCTGCAGTGAAATGCAGGTTTGGAAGACGGAGGGTTTGTCTAACGCGCTGCCTTCAACACCGGAGCACCGTTTTAATCTTGCACTCGCCAGGCTTTCACCTTCAGGTCTGAATTGCTCCGAGCAGGAAGGAAGAGGAGAGGGTAATTCTTTATCATAAAAAATACTGTGTCAAAGACATCAGGACCTGAGGAAATTAAAAAGCATTTTCAGCATTTTTTTAAAATCTAGGTCTTGATGTATTCATTTATACCTCTCCCTGATGATTCATATAAAGGCACAGCACAGTATCTCTCTCCAAAGAGCAACAGGATTGTGACATTATCGAGAGAAATGTAACCAAATGGTTATTATATAGTGTGCTTCGTGCAAATCTGACAGCAGGCTCTTAACAGCAGCTCTCAGATTTATAGCGTGTTTTACCAGACTCACACGAAGCCAGGGAAAGAACATAAACTTGGCTAATGATTTGTATCTTCAACTTCCTTCTCCACTGGAATTAATTTAATTAAAAAACATTATTTTAAATTGTGAAATACTTTCACCCAGATTCAGATAATTTGATTTTATCTGTTATCAGAGCTTTGAGGCTGCTCAGCACTGTAGTATCCAGTCTTGATCTTGTCCTATTATTCGGTCTTTCAGTTTTCTATTATCAACTTTACCTGCAATTCAAAGTCTGCACAATACATGATGCAAACAAAAGGTTTAGAGCTCCACTTCTGAAATATGGCAATCTGTGATCCCTGGAAAGACTCATGGGAAAATAAGGGAGGAATCAAAGAGAAGAACGCAGGGCAGCCCATACTAAACCTCAGCTCTCTAGTCCAGCAGGCCTTGCATGCAAATGCTCCTGCAGGTGTGTGGAACATTTGGCCATTTACTATCTCTGGCTTGGGCTATTCCTGATGTCCCTCACCTTTGTGGGGTCTCCAAGAGCACGTACAGCCCTCCTTTCAGCAACGATCTTGGTCTTCTCTACCTGGTCACCTATTTTCATGGATGTTGTAACGCCCCAGTTTGGGGAATCTCATCTCCCAGTCAAATTTTATTCTGACTTACCCAAAGGCCACCCTGCTATGGGGTGTAGCACAGTGGCTACATAAGCCTTAGTGTCTGCACACACAGGCTGCAAGAAATAATGCCCATTCTCTTGATTCTCTAGTTACTTCTTTCAGTGGCATTTCTGAATCATCAGTTGTGGAATCATCACAAGTTGCTCAGACTGCTCTTAGGCTATGGCTGTGGTCCAGACCTGTCAGGTAGGAGACGTCATCAATTTCAAGTCAAGTTCACGTTTTTGAAATCCTGTCATGTTTTTTTTTTTTTTTTTTTAAACCTCATTACACAGCATCTTTCTTGTCTAGACACTTACTCAGCAAAACACCTGCAGGCTGTTGCTCTGTCATGTTTAAGCAGTGGTGCAAACACCAGTTTGTAACGGTGCAGAGGACTCGCCACGATGCAGAGTCCTGGTCCTGGAGTGCACAAGCGATGCCCACCTCCTGATTTAGACTGTTTTACCTCCTGCCCTAGTCCCTGGGCAAGCAACTACCCCCACTCCCAGACTGGCACACGTCCTGCCACCCATCTGTGCCCTCTCCCTGCTCGGGGGCTGCCGGAGAGCAGGCTTTTCCTGGCATCACCATGTTTTTTGCCCAATTTTTGCATCATTCTGAAGTTTTTCTCCATAGCAGCTCTCCGGTACAGCAGCTAATTCCGCCCTGCAGGGCAGCTGCTGCTATTTCCCTGAGTTTGAAGAAGATGAGGAGTCAGCATCTGCCCTGGGCAAGATTCTGGCTCTTTTTGCACCTTCTTTCTTTTCTCAGCAGAGAGGTTTCTGCCCTGATGAGTAAGGTAAGGCTGGCAACTTTTCTGTCAGATCCTTTGCCCTTTAGCTTCCCTTCAGGAGCTTCTTCCCTTTTTTCCTGATTCCATAACTAATGCAATCACTTCTCCAATGGTTTCCAAGATTTTCCATCTGCTCAAAATAGGCACTTGTGAGCTCTCTTGTTAATTAATGTGTTCTAAAATCATGTTCATCAAGTAAGTTTTATCATTTCCATTTTTTTCCCCATAATAGTCAACTCCATTGCCTTAAGTCAAACACTGCTGTTTCAGCATTCGAAATTTAGGGGTTAATCCCCCAAAGCAGAAGTCACTGCTAGGCTGGAGTGCAGACAAAGCCTCAGCACGTTGTATTTGCTCCTTATCAGGCTTTGTACCTCTAGCTCAACCTGGCAGAACTTAAGAGATTCCTATTACCCTATTCTTTCTGCATCTTTGGAGTCTCACTCAAAATACTCTTTCTGCTGAAGTTTATATTGGGCATTTTGTTAAGTATATTTGAAGTTGTCCCAACTTTTGCTCTATATTATTACTTGTGTCCTTCCTAACTCTTATGAAGCATTTTAGTAAAACTGTAACTCCCGATTCAGGTGATAAAACTAAACTATTTTCAGCAATGGGTTGTGGAGATGTTACCAACAGATAATTTTACTGAATTTGACAAATTTGTTTTGAATGCACTGCACTCGTGGAGAAGCAAGTTCCCTATGTGGTACTCAGGGGAAACACAACATTCAGAGTGTAACAGAATTTAGTAAAGATAAAGATTTATCAGATCCTTTAGTTCTGCTTCTGATATATTTGGTAACAAAGACAGTCCACAGTTCAAGTGTCTTGAGACAAAGCAAAGAACCCCTAGTAATTTTATCTAGGGAGAAAACAAAATACTGCTTCTATTTAGAGAAACGCTTCTGCTTTGTGTGGTGCTTAGCAAACTATCTTATTTATATTTAAAATTTGAGAGCTATTGAGGGCTATTCTGCAGCCTACACAGATCTAGTCAATCTCCTGGAGGACAAAGGACACAAACAAATTACTACTTCCTACACAAGGATTAAATAACAACACTGATATAAATACAGAGTTGCCATTTTTGACAACCCAAAGAAAGATTATTTACCAGTAACTGCACTTGACACTTCTTTGAAATATATTGGCCACAGACACCTTTGTTTTGCTGGGTTTCTTATTACAAGCAGCTAACCAGATGCCAATTTTGTCTTATCATCACCTATAAGCATGTTCGTGTTTCCTTATCCAAGTGAGGATTCCTAACGCACATTTGGCATTGCTAAGAATTCCAGCTACCAAAGCACAAAGTCAGGGAGGCTGTTGGATTGCCAGGGTGAAATACCTGCAATTATCTTCCAATGCAAAGGTGGAAACAGCAGCCGTGTCCCTGCTGGAAGCTGGGAGGAGGCACCCGAGGTTGGAGCAACCATCGTCCTGCTGGGATGGTGGTTCATATAACTGATAACTTTACATGCTAGACCCTGAAGGACCTGAATCCGCGGTGATCCATCTAGCAGCCACTTCTCCAAGGAAAAGGTAAAAGGCTATTCCCCATCTCCGAGATGGACCAAAGTCATTGCCATAACCCTGAGAAAGACTCCGTGCCAGGCGGGACTTTATCTGCACAGTCTCTTTATCCAGGCACCTTTCACATGGGATTGCTTGAACATAAGCACTGCAAGTCAAGCCTGTTGACTCAGGTGGCTGAGCTGACTGATTTCTAGGATGTCCTGGCTCCGAGATTTCTTAGCATCTTAGAGGGACTCAAAAAATAAATATTAAATATCACTAGAGGTGCATGTCTGATGCCTGGCCTTCAAATGAAGTATGAAGCAATGAACCAAGCGGTTGCATACTTGACTCTTGCCCAGACTAATGTCAATTAAGAGATACAACAGGAATTAAAATCATTTTAGGAAGAAAACAAGGTTGCACTAAAGAAATAAAAGAAAACCAGAAACTGAACAAAACTGTCAGAGAAAAACATAGGATGAACATGCAATGCAGCTCCTCCATAGCCTCCAGAACAACAGCAGAAAAAAATAATACAATGTAGTACAGATTTACCAACAGAAAACAAATGTTGAAAGTAAATGAAATAAAGGGAAATGTACTGAGAAATCAGGGGTGCAACGTGCTATTTTTCCGAAGACTTTAGCAACATAAAAATGCTCCAGAGGAGCCAAACTGCCAAAAGAGTCTTATGACAGACACTGCTCCTCCAGGGCTGCACGAGGACGGGCAGGGGACGTGGCCGACACGCACAACTCCTGGGCAGGAGCACGGGTGACAGGAACATACCCTGCGTGCGCAGGCAGAGCGCTGGATTCCCTTCGGAGAAGCACCAGCTCTCTGCCAAGGGGGATAATTAAACTGAAAAAAAATACACAGCAGTAACAGCCCCACAAATGAGGATAATTTAATTACCACGTTGGATATAGGGGAGCCACTTCCCGTGAGTTTTTCATTGCGACCGGAGAGGGGACGGTAGTGACACAACGTGCTTCCAAAAGCAAGGCTCATTTGCCAAAGAGGAGCTTTCTATTGGGGTCTGCATATTAAACATCATCACAGCTTTCCATAATCATGTCATAATCTTTCCATAAAATTCAATCAAGGCAACAGCTTGTGAGCATCCAAAAATCAATAAAAACATATGAGAAATGATTACAGAGGTAACACCAGAATTTATTTCAATACTCAATACTCAAGTCATGGTGGCTCTAAGGAATGTCTAAATAACAGGGAAGCAGGTGTCCTGCAAGCACCTCTTACAAAAGGTCTCCTCCTCCTCCAATTCAGAGGAAATGCAAACTGCACTTAATACCAAACTGTTTGGTTTTTGGAAAGAGGTCATTTCCACCCACTCATCTTTCTAAAATAAAATAGCTGTTAAACTGGACAGGGCAGAGCCTCATCTGGAATCCCAGTCTAGTAGTGTAGCTTCAGTGAGTCGAATTTAAAATCCAGGAGCTGCAGGTTTGCTTTATTCATTAGTGCAAAAATGCAATATAAGAGGAGAGCTAATGTGTCAGGCTCCTGAAGAGCTTTATACACTGTGTAACATACCTCTAGGGTGCTCATCTGTTAAGTGAGAGAAGGGAAAATATTTTTCCTCCCTTTCTCTCTCTCTCTAGTGAAAACACTTAGTGGACAGTACATGCTCAGTTCTTTTGAAAGTAATGGAGTGACTGTATCCACTCAATTATTTAAAAGAGTTGAGTAATTGCAGGCTTGTCAGCTCAGAAAACATCTCTGTCCTGTTAAAGCCACTGCACAAAACCATTTCTGTGCAGGCGGTCACAGAAGTGCTAGTTGCCCTTTTATTTACTCTCACATTCTGTGAGTCAGAGTCACCAGCAAGAGGCTGCATGTCCCCACCTGTATCTAAGAACAAAAAACAGGCAGGAGAAGCAAGTGGGGAGGAACAGGGGGGGCACCTCGGGAGCCCTTTTGGAGGTGTTAACTTAATATGTGGATTGTGCTGCCTGATGGCTATGTAAATCCTTGCAGAAATGTCCCAGGGCATGGTGTGTGCTGGAGATAAAGATTACAATAGCAGACTTAGAGGCAAATGGATTCAGACAGCCGGACAGCCCAAGGAGGGAAGGGCTTGAGCAGACAGTCCTCTTGCTAAAGACTCTCTGGAGAAGCTCCTTTAGTGGGTGCTAGGGAACTGGGAAGTTACCACCTCTGCCTTCTGCAGATTCCAGTGTAGCACAGAGGAAAAAAAAATGCTTTTTAAAGCTATTTACTGGCTTGGTAGATAAACATCACTGTGGCCATCAGCAGAGGTGTGGTGATGAAGAGACACAATTAAATGCGAATCTTGTAAATGCTACTTCATTACACTGGCCCTCATCACCTCAAACAGCCTATTTTGTCCTTACACAGCAACAGTTGAAAGCAAAAAAAAGAAGACAATTAGGGAAGTGAAATTAGGAGAGCAACAACATCTGTTGGCAAAGAATGATAAAAACAGCCTGATCAAGCCTGGAGGTTAAAGCCAGACACGCAGACCCCATCTCCACCCTGCTGCCTGGCTCCTCAGGTCCTCTGGAAATGAAAGCCCTGACAGTGAGGAGAGTTTTCACCTCCTCATTATCAAATGGCTCACCTTAACGGATACTTTTCTCCAGGGTCTCTTCCCAGGTGGAAAAGCAGGGGCAGAGTGGTGTGCTCCTCCTTCGTATGTGTTGTCACTCCAGAGACATTCTGCCCAGGACAGAAATCGATGCCCTGCATTAGAGAGGAGGAAACGAGTCAACAGGAGCGAAAAAAGACAGAGAATTCTGGCTGACGCCACATTCCTCAGCATCTTGTTGTTAAACAAAGCAGGTTAACTTTCCCCCACGCTGCCAAATATACACAAAATATAGAGTTAGTCTAAAACCGGGGAGTTTGCTCTAGTTTCCAAAATGTTTTCTGATCCAATGGGGTAAAATGAGGCGACAGCGTTGCTATTGCACGAGCAAAAAAGATGAAGCGGGCCTTACAATTTTGCCTCATAAAAAAGTAATCTCTATAAAATATTCATTAAAAATGAAATGCCAAACAAAAGAAAGAGGTGAAAGCATTTAATCATAGGAATTCTGCTCACGGAATGTTTCCTCTCTAGTTTCTATGGCTCAAACACACAGGGAGGTTCTGATCACCTGGCAACTCGGATCTAAAAGCAGCAGTCACTACGAATCACCCAGCAGGATGTAATCCTGGGAGGACACAGGCACCACGAGCCTCCCCTGAAACTGCACGTGCAGCATCTGACAGCAGAGCTAAAGGACCCATTTCGCTGGAGGAAGAAGCAAATAGGGTTAATTTTGAAAAGAAAAGGGTGTATTTATTTATCTGACATACAGACTCCTAGAAAGCGCCCTGCAAGTGGCACCAAATTTCAAGTGCTAATTCCCCTAACGCAGGGGGGCCCATCGGCTAGCAAGGGCTAGCACCTAATGGACTTGTTAAACCTCGTTTTACAATTTGGGCTAACGTGCCCTGCTGCTTACAATGCCCCGAGCAGCAGAGCCAGGCATGGAGAGAAGGTAAATATTCCTGCAAACAGGAATATTTAAATGGAGGTGGGAAAGCAGCTGCAGCATTCGCTTATAAAACAAACAAACTGAAAAGCCCTCTGCAGATGTTGGTCGGATTTGATTGGCAAACAATTTTCTAAAAATATCCCCTGTTTTTAATGGACAGCTGGTCAGTGGAGCAGTTAATATGCTGCTTTTCAATAAAGCAAGAAGGTTAGAAGCCCATGAAATCCCATTTATCTGCACAGAGCTATAGATTCCTGAATCACTGACTGGAAAAATAAGAGAGTTGCTTGATAGGTTGTAGTGGCCCACCAATAATGGACTTTAAATGGATACAAAAATGATTGACCTTTCCACCTTCCAATGCCACAGACCGCCGAAACATGGCGAAAAATAGATTTTTTTTTCAAAAGAAACAGCTAATGAAAAGGTATCAAAGCTGACATAACATCCAAATTATAATTTGGATGCAAATCAAACAAGCTATTTAATTAAGAGCCTGCTAATTGGTACAATACTCTTCTGCTGCAAACGCTTTAGTTCGAAAGAAGGTTTTAGTCTCTTGGGCATTTGTTTATACATTCCTCTGTTTACAATTTATCTTTTGCTTTTTGTAAAATCCTTGTAGCAGCAACTCTACAACAGCCTGCGTTACGTCCCAGAGGTTCCTTCCAAAGTGCTGTGACAACCCTGCCTGATGCCACCAGCCAAAAGGTATCTGTGTTTCTAATCTAAACAGTCAGAGCACTCTTCAAAAATACTCTATTGGCAGGGGGGGAAATCAAGCATACTATTTTATTAAATTAATAACACTCTAAAAATGTGGCTGAATCCACCCTATAAGTTTCTAAGGCTTGTCAACTTTATATCCCCAAATACAACTATTACTATTTTGATGCATTATGTGACCTTCAAGATTCAATCTGTGGGAACAGTTTAACGTATTTTCTACTCGATCATCTACAAATGAGCAAAACACATATGCTAAGATCATGTCCTTGCATCTGTAATTAAGGTACTGTCCAGTATAAGAGTAATTAAAATATGGTGGAAACAACTAGAGGGTTCTCTTGTATAAACTGTAAGAGGCAGAGAGGGAACCAAGTAAAAACTAACGAAAGGAGCACAAATAAGTGTGTACAATAAGTCGATGAAGAAGGAAGAGTGAGTGAACCCGCTGCAGAGCTGGGGGGCCTGGCAGCACACGGACAAGGATGAAGCACCTGGAGCTTGTGGAAAAGCAGATAGTCCATGAGCCAAGTTCACCAGAGCTTGCAGCCACAAGCAGAGACTTCCTCATTGCACAAACACATGGCAAGAGATGTTTGGAAGAACCTTAATGTGACCAAGAGGCTGGGATGCAGCCTTGGAGCTCTCCAGGAACAGTTCCCATGTCCCAGGCAGGGCATTCGCATCATGCCATAGTGCAGCCTATCTAATCATTGCTAATTAAAATGTGCATGTGCCTCTTCTTGACTGAAAACTGATGGGTGTGATGACAGTGCTCGATGCTGCTCAGTTTGACTCAGTGAAACAGTCTACATTTGACAGAAAAGAGTATCTAACTTCTCCCTAAGCTCTGTCTCATTCTCTTTTGCAACTCAAAGCCATTTTCAGATCTCGTGAGGGAAAAAGAAAAATCAGCCACCCCGATAAATCAAAAATCAAGGATCCGCTAAGTCTGGATTGCTTTGCTTTTCTGGAGCAGAACTGCTACAAAAGTCAATCTGCTGGAGATTTGAGAGGCACTTAAAGACAAGACGATCCACACACTGGAACATCTGGGCAAGGGCTCTAGCTGCTTGGAAAGCCTGCAGATTTGGTCATGTGTGCTGCCAGGACATGCCAAAAGCCCCTGGATAGATGTTTTTGACAACACAGAAGAAACTGCCCTCTGGCAGGAAGAGTGGAAAGAAGCTGAAGCACCATCAGACTGGTCAGGGAGGACGTGCTCCTTGCAGGTACCTCCAGTGGTGCAGGCCACCAGAAGGGAATTTTGGATCATTTCCTGCTCTTTGATAAACAATTTTTTTTTTCTCTTTTAAAAGGAACACTGCAGGGCTTAACAATAAATAGCAACGTGCCAAATTCTCAGCTGGAGCAAAAGCAACATTGCAGTGCTGGGATCCGCACCAGCCGGGAGCTCTCGGCAATCCAGCACTTCCAGCGGCAGCTTCGCCCCAAAACCAAAGCTGCACCACGTGGAAGATGAGCAGGGAGGCAGCTACACCCACGCTATCCACCAGGATAACACAACCCAAATCCACCAGCACTTCACCCGCTATTACTCACCTACAACCATTTCATTGAGACTGATAGCTACAATGTGCAGGGGAATCAATAGCTAGTTAAAAACACAGCCCTAAGATTTTGCTCCATGCACTATCAAAGGTCATATGAATGTCTGCAGGTGACATTCCAACAAAGTGGAAAGGCCACTGCCTCCGTTTGGGTAAATTCCTGGATTTTTTTCCTCCTTGATTATAAAAGCATGAAAGATAATGAGAAGATGCTACCCAGAGCACAAGTCAGCTCTGTGCCTCCAAATAGGGAGGGTTGAAGACTATCAGCTGGCAAACAGAAATACCTCAGCTCATTCCCCAAGTTCCTTACGCCCGGATAGCGCAAGCAGTGCACAGACCCGCTTGCTGCAAGAGAAATCCCAGCAATTCCTTAGAAAACCCCAGAACATTCCCCGCACATCAGGTCAACCTTGCAGGGAGCGCGTCTGCCCACCCTTGTCCCCAGCAATTTTGCGACCTGCATCGTTGATTTTCCCTTCGCAAGTCCTCGCGGCCACGGCTTGCACAGCTTACGCTTTAATTTCCAGAGCAAATAGAGCACAGATGCTATGTCAATATAGACATGAGACAAATACAGCCGGTTGCCAGTTTGGGCTCTTCGCCAAGCACTGGGAGCGCCGCTCGCGCTAACGTGAGCCCTTTGGCAATTCGTCACCCTGGCGCTGTCCCAGATCGGTCGGACTTGACAGGCCACCGTGGATTCTGATAGTGCTGCAGCAAATCCTGGCTCCGTCTCCTGGTCATGTTTCCTCATTCCAGCACATTAAACCCAGAGCGCCAACAAAAGTATATTAATATTGGACAGCAGGAGAGAGGAAAATAAAAACAACTAATTAGAATGCTGCTTCTCGCCATTTGCCATGGCGCTGGTGAGTGGTGATGCTCTCTCGCCTGGAAATTCCCAGCAAAATCCTCCCAAACTGGAGCTGGGAAGGACAGGCCACTTGAAAGCAGGATCGTGGGTGTCAATCCTGTCGAGCAAAAATTGCTTCTAATGTGTTAACTGCCTGGAAGAGCCCCCTGAAGCCGGGCATGCCGCTTCGCCTCCGCTGCTCTCCAGCAGAAGCGATCAATGGGCAACTCATCCGCTCCGAGGACCGCAATCAAGTGTCATTACTGGTGAGGTTCTGCTTGGCTTCACATCCCCCTCGCAGAGCAGCCTGCATCGATCCCCCGCGCTGCCGAGAAGGGCGACGAGAGCGGCTGGGGGGGGAGGGCACCGCTGGCATCGCACACGGATGGAGTTCTCCCTGCGCACACAACGCGGAGAACGGCGCAGGAGCCTCCACGAGGAGCCGCGGAGGGCTCCTAACAACATCCGAAGGGGACAGCAGAAATGTTGATGTTATCAGCCATTTCCCAGCAAGCCAAAGGGCTTTTCCACACTTCCTTAAATTATTATTTTTTCCTTCTTGCAACCCTGCTCATGGAAGGCACAAGAGCTACTCTCTGCTGCAGCTTTCTCCTGCTGGCTCATGCTCATTCCTCTACATGGCATTTAATTAGGCAATTTCTATAGGACTCAGGTAAATCCACAGGGAATACTCACCTTTTCCCCTCTCAGGCTTCTTCAAAATAAGAAAGGTCCCTTCGAGCAGCTGGACAAAAGAACTCACAACAGCACAAACTCTGGGTGTTCGTATTTTAGGAATGGAAAAGTTGCCTACAGTGGAACCACTTTTTAAGCTACTGACTAAGGGACTTGATTCTCCTGAGTCACTCAGTCTCAATCTTAAAACTGCTAAAATTGGCAGAATATTTATATGTACATATGGTATATAAATATATATATACACACACACACACACAATTACTTAACTAACTTGCACTATGCTCAAACAAACGGGTTTCCAGGTGAGAGTCTCAAGTTGCACACATTATTTCTAGTTAATCCTGTAAGGCCTGGTAGTCATAAATGGACATGCACATGCTCATGTAACAGATTTATACTTTCCAACTCAACATGGAAATGTGATTCTGGCTGCTATAATTATATAGTCACATCTAAAAAATACACTAAGTATGGATCAAAAATAGTGCAAGATTTTGCATTTCCCACACTGTCAATTGATAAGGGAACTCTGAAAGTGAAAGGAGGCTTGGCTAAATTTTACAAATCTGTAAAAATAACGAGATACTCAATTATCCATAACAAACCTCTTTCACATACAGCTGTTTGGATGCATCTGGCCAAGTTCAAATCTCTTCCAAAGCGGATGACATCCCAAGCTGATACACCTGCTTATCCCAGGCCTGAGCGTAGACTCCTCAGATTCACATTTAAAAAAATCTCATAAAACTCCACACTGGGCTCAGATCAGGAGGTAACGGTCTATGTTGAAGACCCAATGGTTACACAAGGCCTTATTAGCTGAAGTTCTGCTGGGATGGTAAATCAAACTTATCAAACAGCAAGTGTGCCAATGGGCAAAATTTCTAATGCCACACACGGGCATGCATTTTAATCCTCTTTCAAAGGAAATTAGTAAACAAATTGGTCTCCTTTATTCTGGTGGAGCAATTCTAGCCCAATATCAACAGCACTGAGAACCCCAGTCACTGAAAGAGGCAACTGCACCACAAGGTGAGATCACAAAACCCCTAAAACAAGACAACTGTAGGACTGTTCTGCATCCCGATTTATTTCTATTTTTAAACTTGCAGGGCTTGTAATTAATGACTTGAGAACATAGGGAGAATTGGAACAAATTTCAGGCCCAGCTTCCTCTGCATGTTGTTAATAGCTAGTCTGTCCACTAATGTGGTCCAATTTTACCCACATCAACCACATGTGATAGAAGCTGCAGGAAAGCAAGCGAATTTTTAATCATCTCTCTGATGTACAGTATAATTGCTGACTTTTATCAGACAGCAGTTAAACAAAGACTTAGAAAGAAACAAATATCCCTTAATTGCACAACTGCTACTGCTCACAATAGGATGGTCTTTGAAATGACTAACTGGTCCCTATTATCACAGCTACACACATACTCAGCCATGTACAAACAGGCTTAGATCAATGGAGACATTTATTTATTTTCAAATGAGCCGTGTAAGTGTGTGCATGTGCAGAGCAATTATTCACGTGTGACATTATCTCCCACACGTGTGGAAAAAGCATGTGTGAGCCCAGCCATGTATCCCTATCCATGCACATACAAGCTTCCAGGATCCGTCACACAGGGAAAACCCTCCACGCTGTGCCACGTGTGATATATGAGCTTTATGCACACGCTAACCTAGACAAATATATTATCTCATTTTAGCTGTGGAATATTAACGTTGACACAAAGCGTGCATTGCATTTTTGAGCCAACTTTCCTTTCCTTACGACTGTGTGTAAAACAGAAACTTTGAGTCCTGGAGCCTTGCAGTCTTACAAGGACAAACACGCATTTACAGCCCTGAATGTAAATGGCTCCCTTGGAGCTGACGTTTCCTTCCACCCCCAAGACATCCCCACAAAAGAAACCCTGCACTTTTACATCCACAAATGTCATCAGCACTTATTTCTGCACCTGTGATGCCTTGAGGACCTACCATAAAGTTAGAAATATATATATTAAAAAAATAAATCAAACAAGCAATCCCTCCCCAATACCATCCTGCTGTCAAAATTGCTGAGAGCTGTGCCATATACATTTACTTCGTGCCTGAACGTATAATCAGCACGGCACATGTGTGAACCTGCCATTCAAGAAATGGCTCAGGGTTTAGTACTCAAGTTTGCAGCAAGAAGGATACAAAAGAGGAAAAAATGACAGTGCTTAACTTCTAATTGTGAGAGGATAAGCCAGGAAATTACAAAAGCAGGGCCTATTTGGCAAATAAAACATAAAATATCTTAGAGTGATGAGGGCTTGCAAAAGTGCTGGTAATAGATTAAACATATGTACTCTACCATTTTCCACAAGAGCTGTTTTTTCCACTGCACTGCCCCTACCGCCTTCCTTTTCCCTTCCAGGAAGAAAAAAAATAAGCCACCTTATTCCACTTATATAGCCAAGGGACCAGCGTTTTTATACCATCGATTGGGAGATACATGATCGGTTCAGTATTCCAAAGCTAGTATGGGAAACACAGGAACGCCCGTAACTCTCCAGGGAGAGGAGCTTAATATTTAGGGCTAAGAAACGCTGTTAAAAGGGAGCACCACTCAAAACAGCTTGGAAAGAGTTTGCTCATTTTCTTGCTTTTCTCTTTAAAGGATTATTTATAGGAAAATGACAGAGGCAGGGGAGAGCGAGGGGAAGGAGGGAGCAGGTCCGTGTGCTGTACCTTGCCGTACTCCTCCCAGGAGTTGCTCCAGGTCCAGTAGTGAGCCTTGTAAAGCCCGACTCTCACGGCCATCATCTCGTTGCCCCGGTAATAGAAGATGGGCCTGGAAAGGATGCAGAAGAGAGCGGAGCCGCGTGAGCAGGCGAGCGCGCCAGGCCGGGCAGCGGGGCTGATAAGGGAGCCGAACGCTTTTACGGCGTCCGACTTCCGATGCGGCTATCAGGCAGAAACAGGCGGCCTCCTAATAGTCCCCGCTGCAAGGTTTTCAATTAACATTTTCTAAAGTGCTCATCAAGTTGAGCGCTCGCGCTGCGCGAGGATGACACGTTCTGCAGCTCGGCTGCCAGCGGTTGTTAATCCTCCAGCTATCGGACCCCGTTACTTCCCAGGGAGCGTGCCGATCGGAACCCCAGATGGATCCGGAGCGGCGTGCGTGCACAAGCGAGCGGGGAGAATGGGATCCACTGAATCCGCCGCACTCGGGCTCCCCATCCGTCCCGGGAGGACGCAGAGGCTGTGCCCTCTTCTGAGTGCCAGCACAGAAAACACCTATGAAAAAGCCTAGCAGCAAAAAATGCTTTATTTTTAACCCAGATCAATTTCCCTCCATGCCTTGCATCATCTGCAGATATAACTGAAAACTGCTAGTTCTTTTCTGATAAGTTCTCTCAATTAAAGACACGTTTGAAAAAGGTCCTCCACGCAGAGCAGCTGGTGGGTTGTACCCTTGCACGTATCGTACCCTTGTCTCAGACACCCCAGCAACCGTCCTGTTTGGTTTCCTGATAATGTTCCCTCATTCCTGAGGAAATGGTGCAAATTTTATGGACTATTTGTGGGAGAGAGGATTGATCTGGTGCTCATCGCACAAGAACATCAGACTGAGCCAGCTCGTTTCAGTTGTTCCTGGTTGCTGGCAGGATGAGATAGTAAAGTTGTTTATCACTATTTGCATGGGTATATATCTTTGTCTTCAATTCAAAGATGCCACGAGGTAGAAACTGCTTGCTCCTATGATGCCACCTTGAATAACAGTCCCTAAATATATAATAGGATTAAAATCACCACGACTGAATGACAAGCACAGCCCAAGATCTCTTCTATTTTGAGCAAAACGGTAGCCTCCTTTCCAGCTTTCTTGCATAACAATCCTGGTGTCCTCTGTCCTTAGGAAATGCTCTGGAGCAAACTGGAAAAGGCTGCTCCCAGCTGGGCCCAATCCTGCATCTAACACACCTGAAATGCCTGTGCAATCAAGGCAGCTTGAGAGATCTGCCAAAACACAGAACCTGATTTAAACTACTCACATTAACACAATTAAAAGCCTGAACAAGCACGCCACAGCTGGGCACACACCAGTCTGCTTTTTTCCTTGCTGTAAACACTCACTATTTGACAAAGTATTAGGTGCCCTCTAGATCTGAAGGCATGGGGTTAAGTTTTTGCCTTTTTTAAAAAAATGAAAGTATATTTTATCTTTTAATAGGGATTAAAGCTTATACTCAAAATTTTGCTATTAATGGTTTCCTTTTTCACCTTCTCTTTTTCATTCTAAGTAAAAAAGCACTGTTATTGTAGCAGAAGTAGCTCTTTATAATACGCTGGCTGCTACAATGCCAATTCTCTTTTATAACAGCAAAATCTATTGAAACTTTTGGAAGTAAAGATGGGGATAGGTTGTTTTTGAGGAGATTGCAATGCCTCCTGCCAGCCACTGGCTGCCCCTCAGGAAATCAGGTAACACCATGTGTCTGCTTCTTGCTTTAGTGGGCACAAAAGCAATTTTACTGAACAAAGGTTCAAGTCCATCATGAAAATAATTCAATTATGTTTTGCATGTGTATGTTTCCACGCTATCTCACAAAGAACATATCCTGTACTGTGATTTCCAAGGCTCCAAATTCTTCACCAAAACCACAACTAAAGCACCTCTCAATCTCCAAACATTCAAGTGAGAGAGCCAAAGAGATTCGTGGTCAAATTTTAGTGTCAGCACCCAGGAGCTTGCAGCATTGCTCCTTGTTCATAAATATTCCAGATCTTTAATGCAAGTCTATCCTTACAAAAACACCCACAGAAACAGGACTTTGCAGGGAAGTGAGCTTCCAGTTCATTCTCAGTGGCCCAGCCTTTGCCTCCAGCCTCCCTTGCCCAGCAACTGCAAAACCTGTAACTCTTCTGCAAAGAGCCAGCAAGCTCTTGGATGTTTCTCCAGTAATAAATTATGCATCTTCCCCTGAACAGGCTGCAGTTCACAGGCTTTTATCTCCCCAGTTGCCATATGCTGCTCCAGGGATCCCTGCTAACCCCCTGACATTTGCATCTGTCCAGAAAATCCACTGTACAGCAATATGTTGTGTGCCAGGAATTCCAACCTCAGCCAGCTCCCGAAGAGAAACTGTTCCTACCATAAAGCTCTGCTGCTGCCCCACTTCACCTAGCAGGAGAACAAATGCATTAGCTCAGTTTATAAAGTATATGAGAAAATTTAATTTAAATAAATAGAGCGAAGTTTGGAATCGTGTCAGCTTGGAGACCTGGATGGGAGCTCTGCGTTCATAACTAACCTGTCAATTAGCTGTCCCTGCAAGATGGCAGGTAAAAGGTCGATGCCGTCAATCTGTCTGTCACTTGGAGGCTGCAGTCCCGCCAGGGAGAGGCTGGTGGTGAAGAGATCCATCACGTTGCCCAGCTGATGACTTACCTGAAAAACCAACAGAAAAGCACTTGCAAAAAGGCCTTCAGCTAAAGCCAAAGCGGAGGAGGCAGGTTTCCACTGCAGCAGAAGCACTGCTTGCTTTATCTCCTTCTCTGCTAGGCATCTTCAAGAAAAAATCTCCCTTTTTGACACAGCAATCGTCAGCAAACCTTCTATATATATTAAAAAAGGGGGGGGAGAGGAGGGGAGGAACAGAGAGCAGAAAGGAGAAATCCAGACCCAAATTTCTTCCATTCCCCTATTGTTTTCTAGGGAGCATTTGCATTTTGGTTCATTTTTTCTCTCTTTCTTCTCACCTCTTTTTATGTATGCACTTATAGGAGTATCTCTTTTCACCAGTTTGATTTCCTTTTGCAAATTCTGAGTCATTTGTGGTTTGAAAAAAACAGCACTTAGAACAGGCAAAAAGTCCTCGATTCCCTCACCAGGTCATCTCTGGAGTCCAGAATACCCTGAGAGAATTCCCAGAAAGCACAGGAATAGATGGATAATAACAAAAAGAGCCTGATGACTTCATCAGCAAACCATTTCCAACAATTCAAGAACTGTAAAGTTGTGGTATTTTTAGTATGTATTTTAATAAGGGAGAAAAACATCTGGCTTTGGCTCCAAAGGAGATCTGCAAGTTCTTTTACTTTAATTGGAAGCCATAGTTATCTCTCTGGTCTTAATTATTTATATTTAAAAAAACTAAAAAATCTGTTCAGAGTGATTTTTTTTTGCTTCCATCATCCATGTGCTACTGTTATCTGCTGTAGAAGGTTTAATTAGCCAGTTACACACTAAAGTGAAGGAGATATCTTCAAATTGAGAGCAAGAGCAGGCGTGTTCTGCACTGAGATGCAGCAGCACAAGATGTGACATGAAAAGAGCCTTTTCAGCCATACCACTCATTGCGAGACGAGAAGCCGTCTGATAGAAAAGCACATCTGTAAAATACAGAAAAACATTTTGACTGAAATCCAGATTCCTCCTGCAGACCTTGCTAATGTCAGCGTGAACATTATGATGCTGGGACTATCAAAGACTTTTAATCTTTGAATCTTCTCGCTAGTCACTAACAGAGCCCCAGGTTGTGAGCTGATGCTAATTACTTAAATATGATTACAAATGATAACATGATAAATGAATCTTTGCAACATGTTGGTTTGCTTGCTCTACAGGAAAATTAAGGGAGGGAAACATATTTTTTTTGCTGGGATACTACGCCTTTTCATTAAGAGGTTAGACTAGAAAAAAAACGAACATTTAAAGGAAGAATCAAGTAAAAGGAAAAAGCAACATGCAGGGAACTGATTAGAAGTTTAACATTAAAACATCACATCACTTGATTACAGCAATTTTAACGGCTGTCATTCATCAGGGTGTTGGCAGGAACAGGTGATGTTAAAAGCAGGCTCCAAATATGCTCCCACAGCTCTCATGGAGGAAGCAAAGTGTGAAGCTCCAAGCAAAAAAAGGAAAAGCCTGAGCATGGAAGCTCCTGCTCAGGAAAGCAGCTGCATCAGCTGCCCAAGAGCAACGGGGCTCCGAGGTGGGGAGAAGCCAGCGTGCCAAACGCTGACCCTCAGGAAGAGCCGGAGCTGGCCGCATCCCGGGAAGTGCTGTGCACTCCAATGATGGAGCTAATGCAGGCTCCTCTCTGCTCTTGGCCACGCACGTGCAAAAAAACGGGGTTTGCTCATCAAAACGAGCCCTCGCCTCCGTCCTTACAGACCTGGATGGCTCCAAGAGCTGCAGGAACTCCTGGT